GCGAAATAGGGTTTTTGATTTCTGTAATCATTATCAGTACTGGACCATAGCCTTTAGTTGCTAGACTTACGAGCGACAGCCCCGACAGCTCCGCTACGCCCGTAATGGTCGACCACGGAGGCATCGCACTCAACCACACCGTCCATTGCGAGGTTGCTTCCATAGCCAGCATTGGTGATTTCTCGATCTTCCAATGTCTTGATTGCAGCCTCGACAGCATCTAGCGCTGAGCCGCCGTTCTTCAGAATCAACATGGCCAGCTGCGCGGCACTGCGCATGTTAGCATGAGCGTACGCGGGACAACCTGGAGAAAACACCAGAAAACTCACTCGTTACACGCTTCCAGATGTATCCTCTCGTTCTGATGACTATGATAGCCGGCGCCAGCGTGAACATATATGCAGCATACATCATCGTTTGGCGGACTACGCGAGGCTTTGCGTGTGTGCGTATCAATATGATAAGCTCCGTCTATGGGTGCATAGTGACGACTAGGGACCGACATGCCTTTGTGAGTGGAGAAGCGTCGACAAAGGTCGCGGAAGCGCAGGCCGAACGTATCCAGTGCAATGCAGTGAGAGATGACGGTTCTCGGATGAGGCTTGGCCGCAGTTTTGGATTTGTACAGACGCGACGAGCGTTTGTTGCCGGGCGGGGACGTTTGGCCGATTACTGGGATGATCCGGTGTCGCTCTAGAGTGGGCGGTAGCGGCAGACGGCTGTGAGGTTGACTGTGGGAACGGTCGTTAAGCGGTCATTCGAGACACGGGCAGGTGTAGGTTCGGAAGAGAAGATAGGTAATTCCAGGACAGACGAGGTGACTGAGGGGGGAAACAATGAGAAATTAATGGAGAGGAGGAGCCGATGTAAAGGCGATGGTGACCTGTGGCGGCGGGGTGAGCAATGAGAGTGGGAGAGATGCTCGATGAGCGCTGTAGGTGCACAGTCAGTGGAGAGGAGGTTAGCAGCGATGTCAAAAATGAGCTTGCGATGGCTCTTTCCTCTGTGCATCAGCCTAAGCCATGTGGTTGTAGTATTTTGCGGTATGACACAGACTCTGTTGAAGCGGTAGGCACGGCACACCAGGGAGGTAGGAGCGATCGTGTTGACCAAGTGAGCAAGTCCTTCCCCACTATTTTGTCTCACTCCGCTGCCAAGGGCGGAGCGGGGCGGTGCCTGATTCGACAACGTGCACCGACCGCCGTCGTCACCTCTTTGACAAAGCCACCTCGACACCCAGCCCACGCGCTTCTGCTCTTATATCAGGTACCACCTGAGCTGCGTTGCATATTCGTTTTTGTGACAAGCAGCAGCAAAGATGGCGTCTCAAACCCCCGCCGTTGTCATGGACAAGTAAGCTACCCGCTGGCCATGGGCACCCACGTTGCGATCGAGTACTGACACTGGCTATAGCGGTACGGGATACTCGAAGCTCGGTACGCTGACCAATTCAATTCGTCGAGTTGACCTCTAATAACAATCCACCAGGCTTCGCTGGCAACGACTCTCCCTCCTTCGTCTTCCCCACCGCGATAGCTACCAAAGGCCCAACAGGCGGTAGCGGCGGATCAGGCTCTGGACGCCCAGCCGTTGCGAACAAGCCCTCATTCCTGACTGGTGGAGCTGGGCCAGGTGGGCATCTGTCTGGAAAGCGCGGTACTGAGGACCTCGACTTCTTTATCGGCGACGAAGCTCTGGCCGCAGCTGGAGGCGCGGGCTATGGCATCAACTACCCGATCAGGCATGGTCAGATAGACAACTGGGTATGGAGAGGCTTGCAGATAGAGGGTAGGGTGTACTAATGGCATGCAGGACCTTATGGAACGCTTCTGGTCCAACTCGATATTCAAGTACCTGAGAGTGGAGCCTGAGGACCACCACTTCCTCCTCACCGAGCCCGTACGCTATCTTTCTACAATCGCTGGGGGATGGAGCTGACAAGCCACAGCCACTGAACCCTCCCGAGAACCGTGAAGCCACCGCCGAAATCATGTTCGAGTCGTTCAACGTCGCCGGTCTCTACATTGCCGTACAAGCTGTGCTCGCCCTGGCCGCGTCATGGACTAGCTCCAAGGTGCAGGACCGATCCCTCACCGGAACTGTCATCGATTCCGGAGCTGGTGTCACGCACGTTATCCCCGTTGCTGAAGGCTACGTCATCGGTTCCTCAATCAAGAGTGTCCCCATCGCCGGTCGCGACATCACCAACTTCGTACAATCGCTCCTCCGAGAACGCGGCGAACCCGACTCCTCCCTCCAGACTGCCGAGCGCATCAAGGAGGAATACTGCTACGTATGCCCTGATATTGTCAAGGAGTTCGCACGTTTCGACCGCGAGTCAGACGACCGATTCAAGAAGCACACCGTCAACTACCCCAACGGCAAGACCACGTCCGTCGATGTCGGCTACGAACGTTTCCTCGCGCCTGAGATCTTCTTCAACCCCGAGATCTACTCCTCCGACTTCCTTACCCCGCTACCTACCATTGTCGACACCGTCATCCAATCCTCTCCCATCGATGTACGCAGAGGGCTTTACAAGAACATTGTGCTTTCGGGTGGTTCAACACTATACAAGGACTTTGGCCGACGCCTGCAGCGCGATATCAGGCATATGGTCGACGCAAGGATCAAGGCTTCGGAAGCGAAGAGCGGAGGCGCAAAGAGTGGTGGTCTGGACGTACAAGTCATTACGCACAAGAGGCAAAGACACGGCCCATGGTTCGGAGGCAGCTTGCTCGGTCAGACTCCCGAGTTCAAGAGCTACTGCCACACCAAGGCGGAATATGACGAGATTGGTCCCAGCATTGTCCGAAGGTTCGCGCTGCTGGGTGGACCAGGAAGCACATAAGCGACGAGATATCGTAGGGAATGTGTGTAGATGTTGGCATGGCTTATTGAGCGAGCACGAGATGACAGCAAAACATTTGACAATGAGAAGACAATCAACACATCAGATCGATATGCCTTTGATCGCTCACTAACCATACCAAGAAGAAACCGTAATCAACCTTATGACTCCGTGTCCTTAACACCACTTTCCCCGCCGCCCTTCCTCTTCAACACAGCAACCCCCTCCACATGCCCCGTCTGCGGGAAAAAGTCAAAGCCCCTCAAACTCTCAATCTCATAGCACCCCTCACCCTTCCCAAAACCCCCATCCACACCCGTCATCCCACCAACCAAGACCCCCACATCCCTCGCCTGCGTATGCACATTACAACTCACATACACCACTCTCGCAGGACCATACTGCACCAGCTGTCTCAAGAAAGACTCATCGCAGCCCTTCCGCGGCGGATCCAGCATAACGACCGTCTCCTCCGCGGGCGACTTGATAGAAGCAAACAACCTCGCCGCATCCGCCGCGATAAACCGCGTTGAAGATTCCGGTAAGCTGTTCAACTTTGCGTTTGTACTCGCGGACTCGATGCTGCTGGATGAGATGTCGATTCCGAGCGATGATTTGAACAGCGCTGAGAGCGTGATGGTGAAGAGACCGGAACCGGAGTATGCGTCGATGAGATGGGTGATTTTGTGGTCTTGGCTGGGTGCAGGCAAGATGTTCTCGCGTATGTACTGTGTGAACACAGGGAGGATGGAGTTGTTGTTCTGGAAGAAAGAGCCCGCTGGATTCACGAATTGGAATTCGTCGGAGATGTATTCTGTGGATTTGGCGTTGGGGTCTGTGATGCAGATTTTGCGGTGGATGTGCGTGCCTCGGTCTTCAATCACCGCGTCGGAATCTGTTTCTTGGGCGGCGTCGTAGTCGGTCTTGGGGATGCGGGCAGTGGATTCGCGGAGGAGGAGGGTAGCGCCTTTGTGGTAGGTGGATATGGTGTCTGCGACGCGTTTGCGCTCGCGCTTGTTGCCGGCGCGCACGGCGTCTGTGCCGATGGGACAGTCTTCTATGTCGATTGTGTTGCGGGTGCCTTTCTTCATGAAGCCGATGGGTGGGACTTCTTTGAAGGTGCGCTTTATGCCGTTGCGACCGTCGCTTCGGCGGGCGTCTGGTGGGCCGTCGAAGTGGGGGGTTAGCTTTGTGCGGTAGCCGTATTGCAGTGGCGAACCGATTGTGTCGCCGATTGTGGGGATGAGCTCTGGTGGTAGGTTGGAGAAGTTCTTGTAGGCTTTCTCGACGATGGTCTTTTTGTGCGCGAGTTGGGTGTCGTAGGGTAGCATTTGGAATTGGCAGCCGGAACAGCTGGCGAAGTAGGGGCACTTTACTAGAGAGTCATCGCGTTGGGTTGAGGGCGTGATCACGTTGACGAAGTCGGCCATGGAGTACTTTTCCTTCTCAAAGTGCTTGTGTGGCCGTGCTGTTACGATATCTCCTGGTGCGCTGAAGGGTACGACATAGACCTGGTCCGAATTTGAATCCTTCTGGAAACCGAGTCCATCACCAGTGGAAGAGATTTCTCTGATTTCAACCTCGATCTCCTTGAACTTTTCTGCCAGTGTTGTCGAGATTTCCTTTCCTTCTCTTTCTATATCGAGGTTCTTGATGAGCGCAGTAACATCCTGCAATAAGACCTCCTCATTGGTTCCGTTTGTTTTCAGAATCTTGCTCTGCTCAGCATGTCCGTTTTTCATGCGCTTGTTCTTGAATCTGTAGTTGCCTCGTGGTCCTTCCTCGCTCCGTAGAGGCGTCTCGGCATATCTTTTCGCGCCGTTGCTCTCGACAGGCGCGACATTGTCCGCTGACGAAGCCATTCTGTATCTAGCAATCTGGGTATATCGACTACCGACCAGCAGTGTCCGGAGCGGTCGAGTAAGAATCCGAGAGTACATGCAGTAAATCGTGAAATTGGAGAAAAGAGAAAGTCGCGTTAGTCACTGGGATAGAGAGGCGGCGATTGGCTGGAGCAGTTACTGCCATCCCGCTTAGTCACGCTGAACTTTCCGAACTTCACTTTGACCATCACAACGCCGCGCAGGCCACCCGCTATTACCGCCTCCCCGCGCTCAATTGGCCCTCACCCGGAGGTCCAAGGCCAACAATGAGCGTCTGCCGCCCCGCAAGATGTCTCTTCACCAAAGCAGCATCGACGACGCTTCCTAAACCGCCTCCGCAACGCACTTTCCACGCTTCCGCAACCCGACAAGCCCGCAAGAGGAGACCGCATTATCCGTCAATAAAGGCCGATGACCTCAAGCTCCTCAACCAGGCGGCCGAAGCAGAGTACCCCAAGTACGACACCTCGGAGACGACGCTGCTGGAAAAAAAGTACACACCCTCGCAAATCGCCGCCATCAAAGCCGCCGAGTCTACAATCGACGCCCGAGATGTCCTCACGCAGGGCCAGCGAAGAACAGATCCATGGCGTATGAACTACGAAGACGACCTGGCGCAAGTCGACCCCGTGACGGACCGACCCGAGCGCCTAACAGGCGACGACATCGAAGGCCCAAAAACCTTCCGCATCGCCAACGAAGTCGAGCGCGACGAGAACATAACCCGCATCGCCACTGAGAATCTCGCAAAGATGTACCCGGACGGCATACCAGAAGACGACGAGAACCTACAAAAAGCCATGGACGCAGCCGTCACCCAAGCCACCCTAGACCCCCGCGCAACCTACACATCCAAGAACCCCGCCGCCCTCCAAGCCCTAGGCGACGAGCGCCACTCGGTCATCGCACCCGACCTCCCCCGCGTCGAAAACCGCATGGTCCGTCAGACCCGGCGTCTCTCGACCGAAGAAGAAGAGGACCCACGGCAAAAGCGCCTCTTGCAATACCTCGGCTGGGACAAGCAGAAGCTGCGCCAGATTCGCGTCAAGACACTAGTTACGCACTTCGTTACCAATCAGACTCGCATGGGCAAGATAAGAAGTATGTACTACCTGACCATTGCGGGCAACCAAGACGGGCTCCTCGGCGTCGGAGAAGGCAAATCCGTGGAACCGGATGAAGGACGTAAGCAGAGCGTCATGAGCGCCATACGAAACATGCGCCCTGTTCCTCGTTACGAGAACAGAACCACATTTGGCGATCTGGAGAAGAAGGTCGGTGCGACGAAAGTCCAGATTTTTGCGAGACCGCCTGGTAAGTCATTATCCTCGTTATCCTAGACTTTCCTGTGACCTACCTTTTGCAAACATGCCGGCTAACTATGAGCAGGTTTCGGTCTCCGCGTCCAACATCTCATTTTCGAACTCGCACGTGCAGCGGGTCTCCAGGATCTGTCTGCCAAGACACCGCGGTCGAGGAATAAAATGAACGTTATCAAGGCGACGTGGGAGGCGCTTACGCAGCAGAGGTTACCGGACGAGATTGCGAGGGCGAGGGGGAAGAAGTTGGTGGATGTGAGGAAGGTTTACTATGGAGGGAGCATACATTAGATGGCGTTGTATGCCGGGATGTGGTGGACATGAAGAGAAGGGAAAGCAAATAGAGGTGTATCATAGGCATGTTATGAGGTGGAAATGCTCACGTAGAGCTTGTGTAGATATCTTGTATCATATCATGTTATCTTGCATACCATCTTCTCTGTTCCGCTCGCTACGTCGAAGTATCTGTGAATCTTGCTCATCTAGTGGGGTATCATAATCGTCAAACGCTTTCATTCCATCCCCCTTCCCCTTCCCCTTCCCCTTCCCCTTCACCCACATCCTCCTTCTCCCTATTCCCTTTCCCCTCCCCATTACCCCCTACCCTCCTACCCCCGACTACTCATCCGACTCAGCCCCTCCGTCTCCCCCTCGCCCTCCCCATCCCCGCCCTCAGTATCAATCTGCTGATTCAAAACAATACTATACACACTCGCCTTGAGCAGCGTAAACACCAAACTCGTTTTCCTTTCTAAACCGCGGAGGCCATCGAGGATCGCGGCGCTGGGGTTGTTGGAGAGCGTGAGGAGGAGGGATGATAACTTGGTGTGGTGTAAGTGAGGAAGTTTGGAGGGTTGGGGGGAGGGGGGTTGATGGAGGGGAGGGAAGATGGTGGAGGAGAGATAAGTGCGAGGGTTTTGGATTGCGACGGATAGAGGTGAACTAACATTATTCAAATTCCCCAATAACCTTGCATATTCATCCAAGACCTCCTGTTCAAGCGGACTGAGACTCTCTTCTCCTTCCGACGTTTGCGAGGCGCCGAAGTTTGGTTCTGTCGGTGCGGGCTCTGAGGCCATGGTTTACTTTCTCCCTTTTTGTTTTGTGTGCAATTGGTATAGAGCTGGGATAGTTGTATGAATGCGTAGATAGGTAGGTAGGTGTTGTTATATCTATATCCGCGCGTGGATGTACAGTAAGAGACGGCGAGCGAGCGTGGGAGATCGTGCGGCGGCGGGGTGAATTGCTTTGCGCTGGATGCGTCGTCGTGCGTGGATTGGATTGTGCTATGATGTGTCGCTTGCTGAAGAATGAATCCCGGTATACGACCCCCGAGTTCGACTTCGTATGAGCTGGGCGTGCCGATGTTATTCGAGGTAGATGCGTAGCGTCCGTCCTTGTTTCGTCGCGTTGTTTGACAAGAAACAAGGGTTCTCGCGAATCGTTGTCGCGTCTTCCCCGCAAACTCCGCGTTGGCCCATGCGTTTCTTACCCTCAGTCAGTCCATTCATATCCTACGGGTGCTCAACCAGAAGTTTCGAAACATAACAACATGTTACATTAAGTTCACTGATCACATCACACAATACAGTTGGCATCTCAAAGATATCTTTCTCATTGCTTCTGCTACGCCCTCCCAGTACCATCCATCCCTCTTCCCTCTTCCCTCGACCCATCACCACCACCATCTCCATCTTCCCTGTCCAAGCTGCCTCCGCTCCCAGACTAGACTACACTACACTAGACCAGCATAATCCACAACCATGTTCACAACAAAAAAATATAGACAACGCCAGAGAGAGATTTTACAGCACACGAAGAATGCTGATTGGTAAGAGAGAAGAAAACGAGCTCGAGAGAGGGAGAGATCCCTGCGCGATCAAGAAACGAAGAAAGCTAGAATGAACTCCCTGGAACGCCGCTGTGATGAGGAAGAAACGCATTTGTCTATGATCCGTCGCAACAAATGAGTGGAGTCAAGAGGACGACTTTCGATATGGGAAGGTCCTCCGGTGAGTGATGAATACAGTGCGCGTGTTTATCATACGACATATCCCCCGGTCTATCGTTGTGAGTTGGTTTGTGTGAGGTGAAGATGCGACGAGTGTTGATCTTCATGGTGGTGGTCGTCTCCGTCGTGATGCAGAGTAACGCTGTTGAACTCCTCAAACGGATCTGCCAACTCGCCCATGGGCGTAGCGAGACCAGAGTCTAGCGGGACGCCCTTGACTCTCGCGGCGCCAATGTCAACACTCTGGGACTCCTTAACATTCCGGAAGTTGGGTGTCTCGACACCTTGGCCTTGATGGGGGACGATCGGTGGCTTCATGTGCCGTAGTAGGGCCCATGACGTCGTCTTGAAGAAAGGTGCCGTCTTGATGTCGGAAGCGCCGGCACGGGATCCAAGTCGCCTAGTCTCGTCCTTGATCAATAGCTTGCGAATGATGGCCTTGCACAGACTACAATTGTTAGCACAGAACGCACACTAGGTACGATTTACAACTTACTTTGATACTTGCGGCGCACCAGAACCCTCGGGGAAGGGCACTTCATCTCGAAGAATGTTGGCAAACGTCGCGTTGCGGTTCTTGCCCTTGAAAGGCGTAGTTCCGTACAACATCTCGTAGATCAATATGCCAAGGGTCCACCAATCGACCGCACTCGTATGTCCACAGCCCTTGATGACTTCTGGCGCAATGTATTCCTCGGTTCCGACAAACGAGTTGGTTCGGAAATTGTTTATGCATGATTTCGTGTCGATGGTTGGTAGGTTGTTCGAGGAAGTACCACTTCGGCCGCTGAGGATCATAGTCGGGCGACCGCCGGGTTCCGACTGTTTTGACAGATCGAAGTCTGACAACATGATGTGACCAGACTGGTGGAGGAGGATGTCTAAGGAAGTTAGCATGATATGCGCGGCGAGTGAAACGTAACCTACTCTCTGGCTTCAAGTCTCGGTAGATGAAGCCCATCAAATGGAGATATTCCAACGCAGCCGTGACTTCAGCCGCATAGAATCGCGCAGCATCCTCGTCAACACACTTGTTCGGTCGTGTTTGCAGCGCGCGGAAGAACTCACCACCACTGCAGTATTCCATGCAGAGGTAGAGGTGGTCTTCGGACTGGAAAGAGTGGTAGAGGGTAACAATAAAGGGGTGGTTGCTGGTCGCCAGGATTTCCTGCTCAGCCAATGCGCGCTTGATCTTGTTTCGCTTGATCATCTCCTTTTTGCTCAACACTGAATTTGTTAGCGCATGTTGTCTGAATTGTAGAGGCGGTTCACACACCTTTCATAGCATATAGTCTGCTGGACTTCTTCTCCCGCACCAAATAAACCTTTCCGACATCGCCCTTGCCAATCAACTTGATCTTGTCGAAGCTTCCCGGTCCAACCTCGACGTTGCGGACCTTGATGGAATTCGAGCTGTAGGTTCTCCTGAAAGCCACAGACTGTCGGATCTGGCCTGCCGAGGGTATGGGTTTGCCAGCTTCTATGGGTAGGAGGTGAGTCGGATCCTGGGTATTCGTCTCGACCATGCTCAAGGTCGACGAGTTGGGGTGGTGTAATACAGGCTGCTTGCCGAGTTCTGCAGTCTGTGGCCTATCAGTATTCTTTCCCGAAGAAAAGAGACCTTGGGCATTGGGTGCGGAAGCCACCCTTCGTAGTTTCCTAGCCAATTCCTCTTTCCCAGCTGTTGTGGCGTGATCGTCGGTAGTTGCTGCGCCATTTACTTGCGTCTTGGGCATTGCGGGGGTGTCTGGGGGTGATGGAGGCACGCTGCCTGCATTGTGATGGCGCAGCGCGGGCGGTCCTTGGTGGGCAAAGTACGGGTTTGCGTGCGCGGTGGGCGACACGCTGTCATCCAGGGGGTTGCCTTCGCTGGCGACGGTCTGGGAGCGATTGCGCGAGATGTGGGGAATGAACCGCGATTGGCGGAACCCCGACTTTTCGTTCTTGGAGTTTGTGCTGCCATCGTCGGAAGACTTGTTGGCGTCGTTGCTGCTGTTGATGCGGAAAAAGTTCTTGATGCGCTGCGAGACCTGGCCGTCCTTGGGATTGACTGACTTGTTGGTGGACAGCGCCTTGCCCGAGAAGGTGCGTTTCTCCGTTTTTTCGGCCATGGTGGAGTGGCTTGATGTGGACGAGTTGAAGAGCTGCGTCATAGCAGTTACACAGGCCGGTGGGCGAGTGCAGCGGGCGACTCTGGTGTATTGGGCGGAAGCTGGGCGGGTGCAGGGAGACGGTGTTTGCGCAGTTGCACGATCAATGGGCCATGTCACTTTGGGTGAGGGCAATGTCCAGGGTCGCGGTGCGTGTGGCTGGGGCGGCTCGGTGAAAGAATGGCTCCGTCACGAAGGCGCAGGCGATGGGAGAGGGGAGTGCGCGTGAATGGTTTCGGCGGCGCTGCAGAGACAAGCAGGGAGGAGTCGGGAGCAGGGAGCGAGGAGTGGTGGTGGTGTAGTAGGGCCAGCCAGCAGGTTGGGAAGGAAGGAAGCCAGAGCCGTGCCGGCGACAAGTACGGACTGCGGCGAATGATGGCGGAGGCCAAGTGGGACCGCCCGAATCCCTGTCTACCTAGGGAAGCCGCGTGCGAAGCCACCTAGCCTCACTCCAGCCAGCCAGCCAAACCGACACCGCATCCATCACCAATCACTCAGCCACCACTCAAACATCAAAACATGGGTTTGCAATGCTTGGAAATCCATATCCTGTGACATTTGCGCCTAGGGGTCGTGATGATTCCTACTCGCCATCCGAACCCTGTGCCGCGCTCCCAGCCAAGAACGCGCACCCATCTAACCGTTCTAGCACCGTGCCTCTTTTCCCCACGACCGCAGCTGTCGATAAATCACGCTATTTCCCGATTTATCAGCAACGCGCAAAGCATAACGGCACGTCATCGCACCAAACACGGCTGTGCGACTCCGAGACACATGCATCCATCGTGATTCCTTGAATTGAGCAAATTGTAAATGAATCACACCAACCTGTTATACTCGCACACACACACATGCTGAACGTAGCTGTACATCGGATGCTGGTGATGGCGACGCGCATGTTTCCGCTATTTCGTCCACTGACGACGGCCTCGGACGCCAATCTGTTCTAGAACCATTTCTCGTTTCGGCATAGCGTCGCTTTCGGACCCTATCCGTCACTCCGACACATCGGCCGTGCGCGATTCATCTCGTCAGCTCACTCCGACAACGCACACAAGATGACTGCGAAGAAGGGACACTGATTACAAGACATGCTTTTATTATTATTATTCTACTACGCAACGGATGAC